AGTGAGCAAGGAAGTAATGTTGCTAGGTCCTTTGTCCACAAAAACACACATTATACCTCAAAATTTTGAATTTTTTACCACAACAAATCCTTATATTTTTTACATATTCACTCTCTCTGCTTTTCATGTATAAATGCACATTAGATAAAATTGCAATAACCAAAAAGAATTTGACAGGTATAATTAAAAAACTATTTATATGGTCATCTTTTTCTTAATAAGATTTTACTGGATAATTGGTGGTGTCACAGCATCTTTAGGCAATGAATTTCATTTTTTTATATATTTAATGTTTTTTTCAAATAATAAAAATATACATAAATCCATACTATAGTATTCTCACAACATGATAATTAAACATTAGAACATAACTCAAAATTAAGGTCATGAAATCACATTGAAAATTTTGTAAAATAGATGTCATTCCACAAAGTGTATACATGGTTAGTTTTTGTTCAAGTACCAAACAAATAAGATTTTTCAATTTTGTAATTTCTTGCAACACTATAAAACTCCAGATTGTAGTTTTTCTTATTATTAGCTGACAAGTTGACACTAAGCATATGTAATTAATAACTTGGTTACTAGTAACAGTATTAAGATGATGACTGAAATTCTTGATGATTTGGATGTTGTAATTAGAAGCAACAGTTCTGAGTGAACAGCTAGCTTTTAGTGTAATAAAATTAAATAATAATTTTTAAAAAGTGAATGAATAATTTATTTATTTATAATCTATTTTTAACTCTGCTTTGTCAAAATTAGTGCTGAATGTCAGTGTATAATATTTAAAAGATTACATATAGAATAACATGAAAAATCAAATTTGAACAATATTGAAAAGAAATACTTTTATCTTCCTAGCTATTTTTAATTGAATGTATTATACTTTTGAATGAATTATTTTGTTTTTAAGTACCTAGTTATAGATTAAAACTTTCAAATTTGAAAAAAACAAAAGATATTTTTTAAAATACTGATTTATTAAAAGCTTAAGATGTTTTATTTATATGTAAATGATTTTCTTGATTATAAGTTGTAAATGGTAAGGGGCTATCTGTAATTGATATGAGATCTCATGGTGGAGGAAGAGTAGTTCAGAATGTGACAAAGGACCTTAAAAGGGAATGATCCTTGCAATATCATGTTTCACATTTACCATTAATCAGTATCATACATGCTTTTTAATGCAATAAATCAAATTTAAAACATATTCTTTAAAACATATTCTATAAAACATATTCTTTCTTCACTTAAATTTATATTTAAAAAAACTCTAAAACATAGTGTCCTTTATGGACTGGGGAAATGACTTTTGCATTTTTTTGGAATGCTTTATTCAGAAATGTAATGCAGAAGGTGCTGAATGCATGAATGCTGATGACTTAGTCATGATAGGAAAAAGTATTTCCATAGCAATACATGCTTTCAACATTTCATCGTGTCAATGAAGAACATTTTATAAATCTGTGGGAATGAAATAACTTGTTAGGAAGGTGTAGTGAAAATAAAAATTTTGATTAATGGAATGTTGTTGTAGCATAGAGTTCTTATTTTGATAAAAGTAAATAAATCTTTTTGTGTTAATATCATTACATAATTGACATAGCATATTCATGTCACAATAATGCAAAAGCTTTGTCATATGTAGTAACAGCCATCATTTGAAACCATGTAACATTATTTGAGAGAGGCTTTGTCATAATATGACAATGAATGACATGGGAGGGAGGGGGTTAAAAATGTGAAATTTTAGTGTGTCGTCATTTATGAATGGTCCTTAACTACAGTAGAAGATTGTTATTTCCACCTACTGGATTATCAAAAATAATGGATTAAGAAACATTTTTTATTTTTACAAAATTCAATAAGTTACATGCAATCTGAAGGTTTCAGACATTGCTGTACATTTTATACCTTTACTTTACTGGAAAGGAGTAGAAGGCCAGCATTACCTTACAGCATAGCCTTTGAAAAGGAAGGATGAAGAGTTTTAGAGGAAACGAGAAAAAGATTAGTCTTTTCTTGACTAATAGGAAAGTGTGAAACATGAGACCTCAGAGCACCCAGTCGGTTCCATTAATTGAAATTAACAAATGTACAAAACTTGGGGCATAGCCCATAAGCAAATGATGAATATAAGGGAATTCCAGAAAGGCATGGACACCCAAGGGCTGCCTCTGATGAGGCAGGTGCAGCGATATACAAATAGCAGCAATGCAAATGGCCAAACACTTGGTGGTGACAATGTGGCTGCCAAGTAACAAACAAACCTGAAACAAAATTTACATGAAAATAATAAGTACTTTTTATACCAGTGCTTGCTGCTTTATGCTTCTAATTTATTTATGTATGCTCTTTAAACAGTTTGAAGATCATAAAGTGCATGATAAGAAAACTCATGCTAACTTTGCACTCTCTTCCAGCATTAAAACCATTATAATATATAAATTGAATATGTTTTTGGCCATGTTTAGAAGCCAGATCAGACTTCTACAAGAGATTTTGCATTGCATGCCAACTTTTCTGGTTTTGAAACTAGATGCATGCCAAATTTTTTTGGTAGAAGCCTGATGCTGGCCCCTAAACATGGCCAAAAACATTTGAAGTTTAGATATTACAATAGTTTTAATACTGGAAGTGTCTGCAAGGTTAGTGTGAATTTGAATATTTCCAGCTTTAGAAATAATTTTGTGATATATTGTATGACTAATACTGTTAAGATTGATTAAAAACCTGCAAACACATTAATCAACATGTTTCGTTACATAACTTTTAATAATTCTGATTTCAATTTGAAGAATTGGTCTCAATTTTGGTAAATGACTGGAGAAAGATTTTTCTAAGTATTAAATCTCATGAAAGTTTACTAAAGTATATATGATATTTTGAAGAATATTGTACATCAAACAAGGAAAGTGACACAAGCAAAATCTATGAGAATGATGAACCATTGAATTAAATGTTTTACATTGTATTTTCAAAGGGTATCTTTACATATTTATTCAATTCTGAAGTGAAAAAGACAAGGGCAGTAAAACTCATTTTCTTTCAGATACCAGTTACCTGTGTGCTGACTCTTGTTGTAACTGATAAGTTTTAATATAAAATATTTTTAAATTCAATAATAATAATAATAGAAGAGTAGTGATTTTACAATTTTTTTATAAAATTACTACTATATCTATATAATCTTATAATTTGTAGCATTTAAAATATATATGAGTTATTATATCACTCATATATAAATGTGATGGGTATGTAGCTGATCAGCTAGAAGTGATTTACAAAATCTTTGAACTCTTATTTTGTAAATTATTGAGCTGTTTTGAATGTTAAGAGTTATTGGGCTGCAATTTGAAAAAATTGTAGACATATATTTTCACTGTTTCCGTCTGTCTTACCTTAATCTCGAGAATGGAGTTAGATAGATGAAATCTGAGACCAGATATGGAAACCTTAGGGGCAGGAGGCCTCAATTAACTATATCCAGACTTTAAGGTACAATTGGCCTTGCAACCTGCATCAACTCATTCACACATGTGCAATGTTCCATCATCTACTCGCATTCACATCCCTTAGTGAGACTCTTGAGACCACTCACTCCAGGGGCACGAAAGGCAATTAGCTTTCCCTTGCTTTGTTTCGACATCAATATATAGCTGTCTTTCAACTTTGTTTTTAATTCTTATTTTCCATATTCTTTTTCAGTCTAAATTCAGTTAGTTTAAGTTGATCCTAGTTGCAAGTTAGATTAGGGACTCTTAGCTTGGTTTCTGGTTAGGTTATGTTAGGTTAAATTCTCACCTCATGTACTGCTGAAGTCTTTCTTGTATCTATGTATGTATGTACAAACTTCTGATACAAATCAGAAGCCACATTATTTCAATTGAAAACTATTTCCCTGAAAGCAGTTAATAGATGACCAGCACAACTCATTTGTTAAAGGAAAAGTATTATGTAGAGGGACAAGACACTACTAATAATTTGAGGTGAACATATATTTTAAATTCAATAAATTAAAAATATGATTAAAATGGCAGCCCAGCATTGTTATGATGTCATAATAAATAACTTTCTATTATTAGATTTTTTTCCTTTATCAAGTTAAACCTAATTAACAATGCAAATTATGACTAATTTACATTTTATAGATCTTATAATTAAATAGCTAATAATAAAACACAGTACATTGAAAAGCTAGTACTAATGAATAAAATTTTGATTTCTTTTATGAACTTTCACTCAAAGCCAGTTTTTTACTGTAGAGATAATCAGATTGTTTGAAAACAATAACTTTTTAATGTTCTTCCTAAATATATTTTAAAATTTCTGAGGATAAACTTTAAAAAAAAAAATGTATGTATGTATATAGTACCATAATTTCATGCAGACAATTCACAGCAGTATATAATATGGTTTCTTGAATTATCAGAATATTTCCTTCTGGAATTTTCCAGAAGTTCCTGGGAAATGTTTGTATATTTTTTAGTAATTTGGGAAATGTTTATAATTTAAGAAAAAGCTTATTTTATGGTTTAATTACTTCTTTATTACTTATATTGAGAAGCTACTTATCATTTGGACAGTGTAAAAATTATATTTCATAATTCCAGATTGATGATGTAATTTCTGAACAACTTACTATCAATGATCTCTATATAAAAAGGGGATAAAACTTTCCTAAATGAGTGAAATGAGTGTGGATTAATAATGAATTAAATAAACAAGCAAATTTTGGTTTATATAATATTAATTTGTATGATTTGATAAACTTGAATGTTTAATTATTGCTTTGATATAGCTATCATATAAGTATATAATATGTTAAAAGGTAATTTTTGAAGTAATATATGTTTATGTCAATCAAGACTTTTATTGTATTTTATTTATTAAAAAAATGTAGCATTTATATTGTATTATGCTGTAAAAAAATGCTATAAATATTTTTGAATTTAGTGGTGTTTTCATATTAATATATTTACAGTATTTATTAATAGATAAAATCAAAAAGTTCCTATGTTCATCATGAATTAGATGCATTAGAAAGAGAACAATTGGAAATTGATAAAAATGCTGCAGAATTAGAAAAAAAATTAAGAAAAGTAATGGAATCAGGTTAATATTTTGAATGAAGTATTTATTATTTTAGTTTAATTAAAATAGATTTGTTTTTATTATAACATTTAATGTTTTAACATTTAGGAAATAGTGTATTAGAAGAAGAGTTAATGCAACAGTGGTTTACTCTGGTCAATAAAAAGAATGCTTTAATTCGTCGCCAAATGCAGTTAAATATTCTGTAAGTAAATAATTTGCAATCTATTATATAAAATTTATGAAGAAAATGGGGGAAAGTGAAAATGCATTACAAATATTAATTTATTATAATTATTAAAAGTTGTTATAGTAATAGGTTAGTAGTGTCAAGTTAATTTAATTTCACACTACATATTCAGTATTATGTATTTAATACTATTAATAATTTAAGATGCATAATAAAATTTATAAATTTTTATATACCTTGTATATCAAGCATGCCCATAGGATTTTTTCTTGAAACAAAATACGAGGGGAGTCCGATATTAAAGGTACAGGCCAAAATTACACTAACATTTATAATTAAAGAAAATATTTAACACATTCCACAAAAACTACATACATTTGTTTATTTCTTGACATAATCAATGTAAATATTGAGACATTTATCCCAGCATGACAGTAGTTTGAACATCCCTGTCACGCTGGGATAAATGTCTCAACGTTTATGGTGATTATATTAAGAAATAAACAAAAGTTGTAGTTTTTGTGGAATGTGTTAAATATTTTCTTTAATTATAAATGTTAGTGTAATTTTGGCCTGTACCTTTAATATCGGACTCCCCTCATATATATGATTTAGATTAAATAATTATCTAATTGATTCACTAAAATCATGTTCCTTAAACAGGTTTGTTTCTACTTACATTTACATTCATTTGTCTTTACATGAGAGAATAATAAATGTATGTAAAAAAATAAGATAACTCCAAACTACTCTCTGAAACATGGACTCTTCCAAATAGTACTTTACAAGCCTGCTTAGAGAATTAGAGGGGTCATCACATAGTTTACAGAAAGCAGGTTGTAAGTTTGGACTAACTCCATTTTTCTTTGACACAATTGTTTTTGAATTAAAATATACTAAATTAATGCAGTGATTAATATAGTTTGAACAAATTAGATGAATAATTATGAATAAAAATATTAAAATGCCTCTAATAATATATGAGAATATGTTTTTATTGGATGAAGTGAGCAACTGTAATATGATAGACTACACTTATTGTAATTATGAATATTGTTATCAGTCATATAAGTTATTAGAATTAGCATGTCTGAAAGCATGCGAGTTAATACTACTAATAATAATTATAATTAATAAATCTTCAAGTTATATATTTTTAAATTGTTTGTTTGTCTTTTTAATGATAGAGTCAATAAAATCATAATTTTAACTAACTGTAGCCCCATTTACTTACTATGTTAATGTTATCAAACAGTTATTTTATTAGTATAGATAAGTCATAAAAGTATTACAATAAGTGGATTCTACTGTACTATACTTCAACTGTACCTAGACTATATAGCTTGCAGACCAGATCCAGCATATCATATAATTTAATCTGGTCCATGAAGATATTTGAAGCAACAAACTTAAATGATTATAAAAGTTATACATCATTAGTTATACATCATAGTTATACATCAGGATTTTATAAATTATACAATTCTCTAATATATGTAAGTTGATCTTAGTTATTTCAAGTTAAAGAAAGGAATGCTTTTTTTCTTTGACTTTTACAATTGGTAGTGTATGGTACATATATCAGATGTTCTTTAAAAATATTCTTTTTATATGCTTGAAATAAAAATTTTGTGGCCCATTTACCTTGAGTATTGTTGCTTTATATATTTCTGTCATAAATATATGAATTTCATGATAAAAGATTTATCAAATGTCATAAAGAATATTTTTATGATTATATTTTATGCTGCATAGTTATACATCATTATTTATTTAATTTACATATAATAATTAACTTTTTTGTTCATCCAGATTCATTGTTAAAATATGAAAAATTATTTGAATATTTATTTATGGTTTAGTTTTTATTAAGTTATTCTTTTTATAATAAATTGAAATCTATGTTTAAAAAATTTTAAATGGCATTCTTGATAAATGCTTTTATTGAATATAATCTGTAAAATTAAAATAATATAAATTATGAATTTGAATTTCTTTTTATTCTGATAGTCTATTAAAATTATTAGTGATGATTGTGAATTAAGTTTTATCAAAATAACTAAATAAAAATAATTTTACACAATTTGCTAAATTTCCAGTTTAAGTCCTGTATGAAAAACATATGATTTTTATTAGCATCAGATAAATGAATTTTGTTCAGTTTATAAATTAAACTATATGCCAGGGGTGGCCAACCTGCGGCTCGCGAGTCACATGCGGCTATTTGAAGGATTATTTGTGGCTCTCGATAGATGTACCTGAGTTCCCTTTTCATTTTTGTGTTATTATATTTTTAAAAAATTATTATCGTTCCGTATGTGTTTCAAAATGTCTTTTAAATTACTAACAACAAATATGAAAGACTAAGTGCAACGTTGTAACAAATTTCATTTCCGTCCAAGTTAAGAATGATATGACTCATCAAAAACTGCGCGAACGAACATAAACAGTGGCGTAATCGTCCGTTATCGACCGACTCCAGACC